ATGGATGTAATGCTATCCACTTTCCTTGAGACTGAAATCGAATCGGGTTGCAACCGTGACACTATCATCAAGGCAACGCTACTAGTAAGCACCCTTTTTTCACTCTCATTGAATAATTGTTATTCATAGTGAAGGCTATTGGTAGTTGCCCCACATGATATACATCTGACAGTTTATCATTTGATACATGCATGTCACGTAAATCGACTACGACTGATCGTTTTCACTATAAATAGCATTACCTTTTTTTATTAGACAGTCGTTCAATATTTAGTATCCATTTGCTTCACTATTCTTACGTTAATAAATGTTTTGAACTTTGTTCAGATTCTTTTTTTGACTGGCACAGAAAGCACAGCCGAGACGCTGATATGGGCACTCTCTTTGTTAGTAAACAACCCACAAGCTTTAGAAATTGCCCAGAAAGAATTGGATATCCATGTAGGAAGAGACAGATTAGTCAAAGAAACAGATATCGAGAACTTAAATTATTTACAAGCCATTGTCAAGGAAACCCTACGTTTGTACCCACCAGGTCCACTGGCTGGGCCACATGAGGCCATGGAAGACTGTTATGTTGGCAAGTATTGTGTCCCGAAAGGTACTCGACTAGTTGTTAACTTGTGGAAGCTACATAGGGACCCGAAAGTATGGTCCAATCCAAATGAGTTTCGACCCGAAAGATTTATTGAGGAACATAACAACGTTAGTTTTCGGGGACAGAATTTTGAGTACATTCCATTCAGTTCAGGTCGAAGAATGTGCCCAGCAGTGAACTTCGGGATGCAAGTAGTTCATTTTGCGCTGGCTCGTTTGCTTCAAGGATTTTGTGTATCAGCACCAATGAATATGCCTGTAGACATGTGTGAAGGTCCCGGCATAGCTTTGCCCAAGGTGAAACCTCTCGATGTTCTTCTCACCCCTAGACTTCCTGCAAAGCTCTATGAAAGTATCTAGATCATATTTTTACTATCGAGCTACGTATCTTTAATATCTTGTGGATGAAAGTGTGTTACATTTAGTGATTTGATAGAAAATGTGCTTATATTTTACAATCTAATTATAGAATGTCACGTGACATTATGTCAAATATTGTATCAATCATTATGTCATTATACCGTGATTCTCAATAAAATCACATACAAATAATTTATAGTAGATTCATGAAAAGTATCAAAATCAATAACATTTCCTGAAATGCAACAACTTATATACATTATTCTCTTGTCGTCGCTGAAAGGGCAATATACTGTACATCTCCCTATTAGAGAGGAGGGAATCCTCTAGTCGAAGGATGAAATCCAATATGTACAAAAGTGCTTGATGAGCCAGCAAGCCTTGAACTTCGGTTCTGGCCTATTCAGTTTTCCTCGAGCTTATATACAACATTCACGGATTCTTCTGCGTCCCATAAGAATGAACCAAAAGCAACGGCCTCCAGCACAAATCTCTTAAGACTTGCATAAGACGTGGAAATTAAATCATTGGTTTCGAGCAAACCAGTACTCTCATCTCCAAAGAGAGCAAAACTATGTCTTTCAATCAGATTCACAGCCTCCTTAGACTTTGGTTTCATGCACATCTGCAGTGTTTCCGGGTCGAATCCCATCACATAACACATCAATTTCTCATATTTCTTGCATAGACTACATGAAACTTGACCAATAGATGTAGACGTTGGGCTGCTAATGCGACCAAATGCAATGTAATTCGATCCTAAAGACAACATCTCCGAGAGTGGAAACTGGCAGTAAGCATCGGTACCAAAATCCAGGTTACTCAAATCTAGATCCCGTTCCAGATGGTACCTCAACAAGGCGGACTTTAAAAAGTATCCGTAAAAGGTGGAAGCAGCATACAGTCTGCAGAGACGAAGCCTCAGGATCTCAGTTCTGGCCCAACTGTCAGTGACATTGGAGTTTGCTTTC